CTACTGGAAGTCCACTCCTAAGAGGGTACAAACCTTCTTTGAAACTGCTAAGCAGCTTAAAGTGCCTTGTGAGAAGCAACTTGTGCTTGATTGTCCAACTAGGTGGAACTCCACCTATGATATGCTATCTACAGCCATTGTGTATAGAGATGTTTTCTCTCGTTTGAGGCAGTGGGATAGTCAATACACCACTGTCCCTACTAGTATGCACTGGGAGTTTGCTGCTATGGTCATTGATAAGCTGGAAATTTTCAGTGAGATCACAAAGCTATTTTCTGGCAGCAAGTATCCCACTGCTAATTTGTTTTTCCCCAAGGTTTGTGATCTGAGACTGAAATTGTTGGAATGGTGTGTTGATACCAATTCTCTTATCTCGGCTATGGCTGAGAGTATGTGGGAGAAATTTTCTAAGTATTGGGATGATATACACTTGGTTCTCGCTGTGTCAGTGGTTCTTGATCCTAGATACAAGTTGCATGTGATTGAGTATTATGCTGCTAAGTTTGGCAGTACTAATACTGACTTGGTGGCTGATAAGATTAAGCAATGTATTTGTGGTTTGGTGCTTGATTACCAAACCAAGTCTGAGAGGAACAATTCTGGTTCTTCAACTGCTTATGATAGTTCTTCTACTCCTGCAAATGATGATCTTGATTTTGAACTGTTTGTGAGTCGGAGGAAAAAAAGCAAAGCAACTCTGGTCCATACTGAACTGGATCACTATCTTCTTGAGGAACTGATTCCTAAAAGGTCTCTTGACTTTGATATACTGATGTGGTGGAAACTGAATGGCCTTAAGTACCCCACTTTGCAAGCAATTGCAAGGGATTTCTTGGCCATACCAATTACATCAGTGGCTTCTGAATCTGCTTTTAGCTCTGGTGGGAGGTTAATAGACCCTCATCGGAGTAGATTGCACTATGATACAATAGAGGCAATGATGTGTACCAGAAGTTGGATTATGGAGGAAATGCAACAAGGTAATCTGCAATTACTTGTCTTTTTCATTAAAATATTAACTTGATTGAATATTAATTGTCTTTTTCAATGTTTTCTTCAATCTGCAGAATCATCGAAGGCTGATGTAGAGGCAATGGAAGGGGTGTTCTCTGCTCTAGCAATTTCAGATTCCAGTACTGAAGATCAAGACGAAGCTGGTAATTAGTTCAATTTAGATTGGTACTTAGTTTGATAGTTTCAATCTCTAACTGTAATTTTTTATTCTTACAGTTCAGGGGGGACTTGTGATGAGGAAGCATCTAATATCCCTAGACGACTGATTTGTTCAATGCAATGAAAGGTTCAAGGTATTGAGCTAGACTTGAGCCTTTTAACTTGTTCAATTTAAAAGTGACTTTCACTTATCTAACTTTGTTTAAGTGACTTTCACTTATCTAACTGTGTTTGCTACTCTGTTTCTTGCAGTGATTGCTTTTCATTTTTCAAGGATGAATGCTGCTGTTGAGTGTTGAGTTGGTTCCCAAGCATAGTGTTGCTTACTTTTTGGAAGAAAAGATCAAAGGAACTCGTGTGTGCTATTAGTATAGGTTTTAGTTCGATTTATGGATGATGTTATTGGGGTTGTCTGCCTTTGTTTTTTATATCTTCCTTTTGAGTTTTGAACTTGAACACTAGTGTAGTGAAGAACATGTTATATGGGTTTTGGGTGGTGGGTTTTGGTTGCAGCAGCTTGTTTGGTTGCTGCAACCTATCACTTTTGTTTCATTGTTTGAACAATGAAGATCTGGGTGTTGGGTGGTGGGAGGGTTACAGCCCCAGATCTTCTCTTTTGTGTTTTGAATTTATGTGCCTTGAACATCAAGGTACTTTGAAGTTTGAATTTCGGGAATTTTTTATTAGGTTTTTCCTTTTTTTGTATTTTTCTCAGGATCCGTGGTGATCCGTGGTTTACCCGAATCCGTCTGGGGACGGTGACGGAAACCAAACGCGCCCCGACAAAGGGACGGGGACGGGGACGGGGAAATCCGTCAGCCTTGACGGATGGGTAACGGGAACTAGCTACCCGTCCCCGATCCGCCCCGTTGCCAACCCTAAACCCACCATTCTTGACCCAACAGTTGAGGGGAGAGAACAAAATGAAGTCGCGGATGCGACGATTGGCGAGGGAGGAGGAGGGGATGCAAGTGGTGGACCTGAGTAAGGCGACAGTGACGAAAGCGGATATCCGCTAGCAAGGATATGCAGGAGTAGGAGGAAGGATTGGGATTGATACCATCATCCCCCTCATCGTGGTGATCTAGATGCTGATAAAGGTGTCGTGATGGTCGGAGGATTGGAGAGCAGAGACTGAGATTCAGAGAGTTGAGAGAGATTTCAGAGTGGTTGTGTTGGTTTACAGGGATGATTGGAGAAATGATCGGCTCGGCGGCAGTTTAGAAGGAAGGGGGAAATTGATCATCAAATCTAGGTTTTCTTTTGTTTATTGGGTGGAGCCGAAGAGACTCTTAATAAAAAACGAAAATTACAAAAAACATGTGTCCCTGCCCAAAATTAAAAATAAGCGCTCAAACTCCCGCGTTACAAACCCACATTTGCCTCTAAAACTAAAACATCTATCATGTGCCTCTATAAGTATGAATTTATTAGAATTACTTTGATATAGCTAAGTTGATGATACCATTAGAGGCATAATTTAATAGTTATAGAGGCAAATTTTATATCAGTTGTATATAAGCAATATTTAGAGGCTAATAATAGTACTAATGGAGGCAAATTCAATATATGTTGTGTAAAAAGTATTTTTAGAGGCAATTAGAACTTCTGTCTCAATTATTAGCCACTATAGACAAATTTTGTTTAGTGATTTATGACTTATATTTCACGAAAGCTTCTATAATCTACAACTCCTCTTTTCTCTCTCCCTGCAAAATTTTCGAGACCCATACAAGACCATAATTGTTCTTCAAGTTCTTTAATTCTCAATTCTCAGAAGCCATTTGAGCTGTAATATTGGTGGATAATGCACTTCTCAATCTCATAAACATCTACATTCTTTATTAAACTTATGCATAAAGAGCAAGGAGTAAAGAAACACAATACTATTTTTTTTTTGACAAAAGAAACACAATACTAGATAAAAGAGAATAGTGATTCAAGTTACTTACTTCAAGAGTCCGAGTTATATTTCTCTAAATTGATGGATGGGCTTAAAAAGAATAGAGTTGTATGTTTCTGTGTTGCAAGAGATTAGTCTGGGAATGGCAGCCAATTAAGAACAGATGCAGGTAAAAAAGGACCAAATTGATTTGTCTTACTTTTGTTTATATAGGGGGACGGTCGACGTTCAATTCGCGTACATATGCTGTCATGCTGAGCAATTATTGTTCGCGTAATAATTATCTTCCCCAACTCAAATACGGAAAACATCCAATTGTCCGTAAAGAACGGTACGATGTGTATATTACACATATTTTTGCTGTATAAACTAACTAAGGTGATAACAACGGATCCTGGTTGTGGGTGATTAGGCATCACATCATGGAATTGGTCAATCAAATTATTCCAAAAGACGATTTCAACTATATTACCCTAGAATTTGAAAAATCATAATAGTGAGTTATTGAAATAAGGAATAACTGTGAATCAAATGTAACTGATACAACAAATTCAATCAATCTAATTTCAACACCCTTTTGCCTTACAACAAAAGCATATTCGAATATGACATGTTCTGCCTTAGCGACTACAACCTCTCCATTTAAATTTGAGCCCAAACAAAGTTATGGGGACTAAATACGAAAACCACTACAAATAAAAATTTGATTAGGGATTACACATACCAGACATATATGCATGGGGAAGATTCTCGACATCTAAAAAGTGGAAACTATAGGATGGTATTTCAGGAGCATTCGGGAGTTCTATGACCACTGTGTCATCATGGAAGCAAATTCAGAGAGTGGTAGGTGAAACCATATATATAATCAACATCATATGTGCGGACAAAAAAATTACTCAACACTAAAATCCTGCCCTCAAGAACAATAGGATGAAACAACAAAACCTGAAGCATATCAACTAATTAATCCCTTAAACTCTATTTTCTACAAGTCACATGAAATTTTAGTTTAGTGTTTATGGTGTTGACTGGCAGTTTTCCTTAAATAGGTTTCATCAGAAAAGTGGTCTAATTTTGGAAATGGGCAAATGAGTGGAACGTTGTGATCATAGGAGTAAGCCCACTTATTTCATGTGTTTAAAAAATAATTTAATAGAAAGACAAGCAGGACGTAGAGGTCATGGAGAATAAGTTTCAGAATAGTTATATTGCATTTGTAAAGATCACCCATGATCCTTTTAATTTGATCAACAATATAATTTATAGCTGAAAAGTAAAACCGCCACCCTCATTCAAATTTTCCTGTCCATAGAGTGATTTTAGGAATCTGATGTGGCAGGGTGTTGAGCGGGAAAAAATAATAACTCCCCGCCAGATTGCAGAACTAGGAATCATCCACTACCCACCTTTTTCTCCTGGTTTCCCACGTTATCATTTAGTTATTATTTATTTTTCATTTAATTTTCGTTTGGCTGAAATACCACCTTTTCTACTGGGTTCCCACGTTATTCTTTCGCCTACCCGCAGGACAGGAGGAGAATCAGTTTCCATCGGAAAATTCTGGTAAGAGGGCGTCACGGTTTCGTGTTCAGCGGAGGAAGGCGCTGACGGCCGGCTGTTGTTGAGTTCATGGGAAGACGACCAGACGTTTTGGTGGTCAGTGGCGGAAAGCAGTGACGGCCCGCTTCTGCTGCGACTGAGGAGATCGCGTTTGGGAGTGCAGCGAACTATCTCCGTGGCGAAGAGGTTGTCGACGATCGAGGCTTTCCCTTCCGGCGAGAAGCACAACTACTGCCGCCGCCACCACCGTCTCCCCCGCCGCCACGAACCCTGCTTCTTCTTTCTTCTCTGCTTCAGCCTCTAGAAGGTCGCTACAAATCGCTCCAGCTACTCGCATCCGTTGAGGAGCCATCGCCGCTGCGCTCGACGCAGCTGCTGCGGCCACCGCCGCCATCATCGAAGCGCTCATCATCCCCTTCTTCTCCCACCCGCTGCCGTTTTTTCCGTTTCCTTCCGCCGAGCACTTCACCACTCTCCCTCTCTTCGCCATCGACGGCAGCCCTGCATATCACCCAATCGATTCAATTTCTTGGTTCCCCCAAGCCGAATTGATAAAAGCCAGATGTAATTGTGAATTTCAGGGGAGGGGGCGTCAAGAGTACTCACCGAGAACTGGAGCGGAGGAAACCCCTAGAGAGGGGTTGAGACGGAGAGATGCATGGATGAAGGAAGAAGCTGTGGTTTTGGCGGAGATGGACGCCATTTTTCACACTCTGACCCTGGGAAGGAAGGAAGGGATTAGGACGGTAGCTGGTTCTGTGAGAAACTACTGGAAGTAGTGAGCTTTTCAGAGGTGATATAATTTGCACAGCTTAATACTGACCATAGAATTTGCCCCCATCACAAAGTTCCATGCTAAGTTACTCTCCTTATTGGATCTTTTAGTTGTGTATAATTCTTGGTTTCGTGATATGGTATTGGAGATATGAGCAGGTGAGGTTTGGAATGGACCAGAGCATTAGCAGTAGTTGGTTGTGAGATGGTATGTGTAAAATGGAATCATGGTAATTACTTGGCTCTACTCATATAGGTAGGCTATATTTGAACCTCAAGGGAAGAATTCTCTTGCCACTTTTTAAGCTTTTTGTTTAGGTTTCCAACGTCAATGTGTGCCTGCTTTATGTCAACATAATCAAGCTTAATTGAAAGCAATACTTCCCACTTTGTTCACTCAATTTTTCCGTGTTTCACGGCTTTCTTATCTAACTCTTTTGTTTCTAAATTGCCTCTATGTTGGATATAACTTGCAGTTTAGGCTATGTGATCGACAACTAATGATTTAATCCATGACCTTCGGAAGAACGGTTTGAGTTTACATTTTCCTTATGTCATTAGTTCTTATAAGTAATTTGTTGAGTTCTTATGCTAATGTACGGTCTATTTTTTTCTTTTTTTCCTTTAGTAGTTTGGTCCAAGAAATCATGTGATCATTAATTTTTTCTTTAAGATCACTGGGTTCATCGATTTAGTTTGCCAATCAAGCATTTAACCTTCGTTTAGTTCCTAATTGAGAGCGTAAGATCATTTGTATAATAATAGTACATGCCTCCGATACTGTGTTAAGATGGAACTGAAATGAGTTGGATGTAATGTCTTTGTTTGGTCCACTTTTATTCAGTGTTCAAGAAGACGCGATTAATCTCTCGCCTAGGCGCGATTAATAGCTGGGCAGGAGGAAATCGCCCAGTCTAGCTCTGGGCGATTGATCTAGGCACCTGGGCACTCGGAGACGCGTTTTCACTTTGGTGGGCGACGCCCAGAACAACTAATAAAGGGGAAATTGTAGCCTTTTTGTGAAAATCCCAAACCCTATTCTATTTCCCCTTTCCACCCGCTCTGTAGCCTCCCCGAGAACCTGCCCAATCCTCCTGGAAGATTGATCAATCTGCACTTGCATTTGCCGGATTTGGTAGGCTAACTGGGTTGCCGGCGCCAATAGTCTCTCGAAGGCCCAGAGGTTTCTATTTTACCGTAGTTGCCAACAGAAAGTAGCGAAGAGGGATGCGTCTATCGGTCTATGGTATTAATAGTCATCTTTATCACTATGCTTTTCATTTTATTTGTTGCTTCTAATTATAATGATCAACAGATACGTCAATAAAATATGTGATCGCGTTGACCTACGAATCAATTTGGAATTGTGCAAGTTGTTGAAAATAAACACTATTTCAAGAGACATTGTTTTATGCAGGTATAACAGCTCCATTCTCTACTAGCAAAAGCAAAGTCGATCATTTGCCTGGAGGGAGGGAAACATCTTTGGGAATCTTCTTGAAATTCCCCGACTTTTATTGTTGATCATCTGACCTTCCAAAAATAGCGATGAGCATAATGTAATTGTCCATTTTTTTGCAAGAGGATTATAGATTACCAACTAATTCACTAATAACTCTTGAGCTTTACGGATGGTATTCTTTTTAATTAATTTTCTTTAGTATAGTTATTTATTGTTGTAAATTTTCACTTCATAATGTTAGTATACGTGTAACTATAAACATAATTGTTGAAAGCGTACTAATATTTGTGGATACTCGAAACCTAATATGCTATGAAATAGGTGGCAGACACAAGGACTGTCGTAAATTTAGCATATGTTATACTATCGAGCTAAAAGCCGAGCACAAAGCTAAGAACAAATTTATGGGCACACAAATTTTTGACAAAAAAGTTTTTATTTGTTGGTGGTATATATTTGTTATAAATTTTTAGAATCTTTCAAATGACATAGTAGACAAATCTATAAGTGTTGACTTTTAGATATCAAAGGCAACACCAAAATAAATTATAAAAAATCCATATTGATTTCCGAAAATCATGAATCTTTTTCAGAAACTTAATTTTCACAACAAATGATTGTATGTTTGAACTTTAGAGTGCCTTATTTAATTAAAATTTTGAAGAAATAATTGGAATATTTCAGATATGTCCATTATAATACAATTGTACTATCCGTATACATTAATGTTAGCTATTAACAACCACAACTGCTTTTGGAGATATATATTATTTAAAAGTGAATTATTAGTTAATAATTTTGTATTTTCTCAATTAGTACCTAATGGTTGTCGACCATAAAAATTTGAATCCTTTATTTGATAAATTTTTATCCCTCCAAATTACTAATAGGGAAAATCCCTTGGAGTTTATAATTAATACTTCAATGCTTAATTATTTTATTTTCATGGATATAATAGAAAAATAAGTGAATAATATCAAATTTTATGAAGAAATATTTTTTAAGTAATTTATTCTAACAATAGGAAGTGATTTTTTTCTTAGATGTAAAAAATATATAGACAACAGTAAGCGATAGCATGATCAATACAAATACTTATAAACTAACTAATATTACAATCAATAATTCGCACAAATATTAGTTTCAACCCACTAATAAAATATTAAGACGATCCCAAATTATTTGAAAATATGAAAAAATAGATTAATATAAAAATATAATAAATAAAACTAAATTCATCAGACCAACGGGTCGGGTAAAAAGCTAGTTAGATTCTATAACTAAAAGGAAAAGGATTAGTACCCTCAGTGTTGGGTGGGAAGTTAATTGTGTGTAAATTTAAATTATTACCTCTTGCTCCTAAAAGAAGTATTTTGCTTACTGCATTGTGCTATAAGTTATTTACCTATATGGTTTTGTCCCTTGTGTTATAACAACATTGTCGATTTAACATTCATGTTTCTGTACAAAAGGAACCCTTGATTCTTGTTAGTTGCCTCGTCATCAGGGTGTTAAACAATTAATGGTTCATGGACCATGGTGGTGGTCTTGAAGGTAGGGTTGGGTTGTAATGTCAGGGTAGCTTGCGTTTATCTATGGGCTAAATGAAATGATTTCCTAGATTTATTACCTTTTCCATATGACCCAATGGCCCACTGATTGGGTTTGCTGTGAAATAGTACCATACCCTTTAGAGAAGGTTTAAGTTTACTTTGAACTTAAGTTGGAATGAGATTTGTTGAAACAAAGGTCCACTCAAGGCAAATGACTTTAATTGTAGTCAGTGACTGTGAGTACCGATTCGTCGGGAAAGGTATTTCCTTCTCATGAGTGTTATATGTTGTCTCTTTAGGGTGGTTTGTAACGCTTATAAGGTATTAATCAGTAAACGAAAAGAATTTTTAGCATTCGTGCAATGTTTAACAATCTTCTTAGCATGTAATTATTTATCGTGAACTGTTTGTTAATGATGCGCTAGTGGTCATTCCGTTAACGGCCTAACCAATTTTTATCCCTAATAATTTTATTTGGTTGGTCAAGTGTGCGCAAGTTTCATGGATATAATAAAAGAAAAGTGAAAATTTTAATTGGATGCGCCGAAATGTATATGTGCATATAAATAGCAAAGACTTTGGTGAAAGTAGAGGATTCACCCGAAACAATTTAGTGCAATTGAGTTTTGGAGGAAAAAATATCAAACTTTCTTGGGAATATAAGGGAATAGCCAAGGATTACTTTGCGGAAATCACGCCTCTCAAATGAGGAACAAATAGATTGATATTACTGAGCGCTCCATAATCATGGGAAAAGCTCCCGAACTGAGGAACACATATTGTCAAACAATAAAGGCCGTCATAAATGCAAAGCTTAACCCTTATGTTGGAAGACATACAGATTGAAGGGGGCATTCTTTAGTTAATTTTTTTTAGCGGGATGTGGTAATAATTTACAGTATTGTCCCACAATGTAGGCGGCCAATAGTATACTATGAATAACTAATTCAATTCAATTGAAGCTGGGCCGACAAATGTGTGTCTATTTTCAAAAACAAATGGGAAAGTTATGCTAAGTTCTATGGAAATATAGGTGTCAAAACATGACCCGACCTAAGTAACCCGCCTAATCAACCCGATTCGCGACCCGCAACCCCCTTGACCTGCAATCTGTTTGACCCGAACCCGTTTGACCCGCAACCCACTTGACCCGTAATCCGAACCCGATTAACCCAAACCAAACCCGCCCGATTGGCACGAATCATACTACATAATATATTTTGGTGCATAAATATTATATGTAGATAATATATATAAAGTTTACGTGACTTGCCCTATTATTTTTTCATCTTTCCCACCAAGAACAAAGATTTACTTTGTGAGACAACTGCCATTAAATTGAATCACATAATAGTCTCACTATCTCAGTAGATAAGTAGAAATCCTAGGAGGGTTATAAACATTTTACATTTGGTTGATATATAAATATAATATATATAGATAACACATACATATGAAAAACATGATTTTACATTTGGTTACAACTTACAAATTACAATATGTATTTATAAATAATAAATCAATGAGACACTTTAATCAAAATCTAAAAGAATTCGAGTTAGGAATCTTAAGATTAGGACTTATGTTCTTCACAATAATATAGAATCTAAAATTTACTCAACCTACGTTCTACCATTATTTTTATGACATGTAATGTAAGTATGTAACTAGAGTTCAGGTTTTAAGGTTAGTGTATAGGGTATACGATCGATGGTCGTGGTTTAGAGTTATTAAGATTAGGACGTATGTTCTTCCCAATAACCAAATATAAAATTGACTTAACTTACATTCTTCACATAACATACGATATAGTTTATACCAACAATTTCATAAGATATAACTATAGTTCATGGTTTAAGGTTAGTGTATAGGGTATAGGATCATGGTTTAGAGTTAAGTGTTTGGGTTATTGACTTACGGAACGGTTAAGGG